AGTGGCTGGTTTACGAACGAATGTACCAGTATCGGACCAGTCACCTCCGCCAGCTTCTCCTCCTCCACCTCCTCCTCTGTTTCGTGGCATCTTTCTTTCTAGCTGCTTTGTCTTTCTTGTTGTAATGAAATGTAGTCCAGCAGTCCTTCTTTTCCACTCCTTCAGTTGTTTCTTATTTTTAATAATTAATTAATTACGAGCCCGGCCCACTCAATCACGTGACATTAGATCTAGCTAATGAATAATAAAATTTGAGCATTCGAGCAAAATAATTAAGATTTTGGACTGGACCCATCATCGACCTATCACCATTTATGAGTGAAGACTGGAAGACTGTGAAGCTCAAGCTGTACTAATTGAGACTCCAGTTGCTGCTGTTCCTCAGGTATAGCTTTATTTCTCCTATTATTTTAGCTACCCAGTACAGGTCTTGAAGAGGATTCGTGCTGGATTGGCAAGAAGAGACAAACCAGGCTTGGAGTGATTTTGAGCAAAAGCAGCACGCCCTCTCTCAGCTCAAGGCTCTCCAGAGACTTATCCAAGAGAACCTAGATCAAGTATCTGCTGCATTGAAAGCTGACCTCAACAAAGTCAGTTTAGATTTAGGCTTCTATTTACAATTGCAATCGGCAACCAAAAATTAATGATTTTTAGTGGTAATTTTACATTATTTTTGGGCCAGTGTGGGAGATGCATTAAAGTTAGCTTTGGGAATTTGTAAGCGATTCTTGATGAGGTGTCCATTATTAAGTTAAATCTGAAGCAATAAAATTTGGGTGAATTGAGGATATTTTGATCAAATTTTGACCTTGTGCATTTTAAAATTTTTTTAGTTTGCATACTACCTTAAGCCTACTATTTTTAGCGTCTATTAAATTTAGCTATATTAGCGAGAGAGCTTTAAATTACTAAATTAAATAGACGCCAAAATAATTATTATTCATTATAATGGTTATTATTTATAGTTAATTTGGTTTAAAACGCTAAAATTAGTAACGCTAAACATGACTTTTGCTGATTTTGCTAAAATTAGTAGACGCAAATAATAGTAGGCCTAAGGTATACTAAAGTCTACAGAGCCCCATAAAAATTAAAAACTAAAATTTTAGCTCAATTTGCCAAATTCTTCCCAGAATTTTATGCAACCAAATTTTCTAGCTATACAGTATTTTTTATGATAAAATGATAATTGTGGTTCCTTATAGAATGAATTTGAGTCAATAGCGGGAGAATGCAATGTAGTCCTGCCGACATTATTGAAGCTATAAGAGACTTTCACAAGTGGCTGCCCCCCA